TTTTTGAGATGGAGTCTCGCTCTGTCACCGAGGCTGGAGTGCAGTGGGGCGATCCCGGCTTACTGCAAGCTCAGCCTCCCAGGTTTATGCCGTTCTCCTGCCTCAGCCTCCCAAATAGCTGGGACTACAGGCGCCTGCCACCACGCCTGGCTAATTTTTTTGTCTTTTTAGTAGAGACGGGGTTTTACCGTGTTAGTCAGGATGGTCTCGATCTCTGAGACCTCGTGATCCGCCCGCCTTGGCCTCCCAAAGTGCTGGGATTATAGGCGTGAGCCACCGCGCCTGGCCTACTTTTATTTTTCATGCTAAGTCTGTTTCAGGTCTAGGTAAAGTTAAATCCTTTTCCTGTAATCTGGATTTTCGGGTTCCCCAGTGGGGATATGTGTTCGGAGGCAGATTTTTCCCCTCTCATTCTTTGGAAACGCACAGTTTTTCACCTGTCTGGTGGAATTTGCAGTGGCCCCTCACTTCTTTAAAAGGATCTATGAATTCCTTCGGTTTTCTGCATATTCTCCTGCAGTGGTTCCTTTCTTGAGGGATCTGTGAAGTGAATTCCTCAAGATATTTCTTGTCAGGTGAACAGTCTGTGGTCTCTGTAGGGCCTGTACCACCCCTGGGCACTGTTTGCCCCACAGAGTGGGCCTCACTTATGCAGGGCCTGGGAAGAGGCTGATTATAATCTGGTGTCTGAGGCCTGGCAGCACCAGACTCTCTTCAGTGAGTCAGTCTCAAGTCTGAGCACATCTGCAGGGCTTATGTTTGCTGTGCTGCTCATGGAAGGCAGGGAATCAAAAATTGTTTTCTTTGAGATGGACTCTCACTATGTTTCCTAGGCTGGTTTCAAACTCCTGGCCTCAAGTGATCCTCCTGTCTTGGCCTCTCAAATCACTGAGATGACAGGTATGGGCCACTGTGCCCAGCCTATTATCGATTTTCTCCCATTTCATTCAGTCCTCAACCCAATGCACTTCTCCCTTTTTCTTTCCCTCATCTCTGATGCTGCTCTCATGGTGGTAACTAATGACTTTTATACAACTCAAGCCAGTGGTCACTCTTCTGTTTCTGTCTTATGTGTGTCATTAGTGTATTTGAGATGCATCCTCGCCTCTTGCCTGGAAGTTTTCTCTTGTCTGTTGTCTTTTATGAATCCACTTCCTCTCTGTTTTCCTACCACTTTCTAGTCCTCTCCTTTTCAGCCTCTGTCTTCATGTCTGTTTTTGTCTGGATGCAGAAGCACACACTCAGATCCCTGCTCTCCTGACTTTGTGTACTTTTCTTGAGTAACCTGACCCAAAATTAGAACTTCACCCACCATGAGCCTCCTTCCAGTTTATGTCACTAACCTAGTGTAGCATGACACCCATCCATTTATTTCACTGCCTTCAAATCAACTACATTTGTTTCCCTAGAAGTTAAAATTCAGTATGTCCCAAACAGAAAATTTTATCTTCTCTCAATCACTTCATTATCACCTTTGCAGTCACTGATGCCACAATTCTCCACGTTGCCCGGTTATTCTAGACTTCTTCATATCCCTACTTCTGGCAGATGATTTAGTGATTCCTATGGCCTCTCATGTCATTACTGCCATTCAAACCCATCTGCTGTCCTCTTCACCCCATGTTCCTGCCCCGGCCTACGCCCTCATTACTTCCCACCAGAGGGCTTAAAAGTCCTACTGGTCTTTCCTTCAGTCCAGCCTCCTCCAGCCCATCCTTCCTATCGGTGCCCTATATAAACACAAATCTGACCATGTTACTCTCCTGCTTAAGATCCTTCACAGTTTCCCCCGTGTCCTGTGGATAAAATGCAAACACCTGCCATCAGCACACAAGGCAGGTTACAGTGCAGCCCGGTCCACATCTCCCCTGGCTTCAGTCACACTGAAGAAATGCAGTTCTCCTTGCAACTTCATGCCTCTCTGCTCCTGAGCCTGCTTCTCCTGCTGGAAAGCCATTTCCCCTTTCTCTGCTTTGCTATCTGCAGGTGAACACTGTCCCTAGGAACCTTTCCTAAACCGTATTTTAACTTTGTTCCTAAGTAGCTCTTGGTATACCTTGTGATACTCAGTGGTGATCAAACCACACATGAAGCAATCATCTTTTCTTTATCTCTTTTGTTCTTGAATTTCAAGTAGATTGAGGACAAAGTCCCTATCTTTAGAGTTACATCCTTATTACCTGGAGAGTGAAAGTTCACAATAAGCATTTATTTAACTGAATGAAAATTAATATTTGAAGTGTGGAATTTGCTTCAAAATGTGCCAACTTTTAGTTTTCAGATTTTGTGAATATAATAAATATAAAGTAGCCTAAGCTGAACCAATTACATCTGTGTAGCACAGTCTATATACACCATGTATTTTTTTTTCCCTTTGGGCTTCATTTCTGTAGGTGAGTAATTCTATAGACCCTAAACTCAGTCGGGGACCCTCACCATCCGTGTGCAACACTGAATCTGCTGTCACTCTGTGCATCCAAGTAGAGGACTGGTTCTCCCCGTGTTGGTCTGGGAAGGGAAATCCTCGCTTAGGGATCATCAACCATGCAGTGTCATTTTGCTTCACTTCCTCTTCCAGGCTGAACCCCAAACTCTCTCATCTTTACTTTTTCACTGTAATAATAATTCACTTTTTGTTATCAACCAGTTGCTGCTTCTTACATATCAGGTAAAGCTAAGATACTATCCCATAGGCCTTTCAAATACGACGACTTGTATTTCCAGGTGAAACTATACTCCACAAGACAATTTTGTGAATGTTATGTGAATGATAATACTTTTAAATTTACTCTGCCTAAGATGTAAGTGTTGTGGATAAAATTATATAAGGAACCACTTTTCTTCTAAAAGTAAGAATGTAACTTGAAGTCAATAAATGCCACTAGGACTCTGGAGGTATTTTCATGTCCTTCACGATCTTTTTCCACTCCGAAATATTTATTCCATCCTTCCACTTCCCTGCCTTGCTTTATGGCTATATCTGTAATTTTTAATGTATTGTCTTGTAGGGTTTCTGAGATCCTGTGGGAGTGGGGCAGGAGGACTACTCAATATTGTTTCTACCAGGAGTTGTGTGTGACTTGGACAACTTACTGTACCTCTGGAGTCAGTTCCCTATTATGGAAAATAATTTCTTCTATATGGTGGTGTGAAGACTCAATGAGTAAGTTTAGCACATAGTAAGTGCCCAATAAATATTATCTTATTGTCTTCAATATTATCATTATCATAGATGGATGTTAAGTCTTCGGGGACAAGAGAAACAACCTATATCATCCATGGGTCATTTCTGTCTTTGTTTCTTCTCACTCCTTTTCTTTTCTTTCATTTTGCATTTCTCATTTTCTGTGTTATTCCTTCATGTTCCCAATAACCTTCCTGTTACCTGTTTGCTTCCTGCATTCTGTGTAGCTTCCTTCATATTCACCCATTCTCCATCTTCTTCTCCTTCATGCAGCAGACCATGTGTCAACATATGCAGAGTTTGTGCAGACACACAGACCCTCTGGAGAGTATATGTCTGAGTTTGATGAAGAGGAGCAGTTTTATGTGAACCTGGATGAGAAGGAGATGGTCTGGCATCTACCAGAGTTTATTCACACCTTTGACTCTGGTGCTCACAGGCATATTGCTGGCATCGTCATGGCAAGGAAGCACTTGAACACCCGGTTCAATGGTCCAAACAGGCCTCGGCCACAAATGGCACTGCCTATAGCTGCCTGTTCCTCTACAGTCCAACTGGAGGGATAGGAGGGCCTCTCTGCTACACAGAGAACTAGAAGCCAATGCTGCCCACTCATGAATGAGCCCCTTCCCTGAGAGCGAGCAGTGTTGGGTCCACACAGCTGGGTTCTTAGGACAGCAGAGGGGGAGGTGTTTTCTTCTTACTCAAGAGAAAGGCTAGACTGAGGGGCCCAGGTCAGGAGCATGAGAGGCTGTGACCCTGCCCAGGAGCCCTGGGGGAGCAGGAGGATGGGCCTGGGAGAGGTGGCCCCTAATCTGGTGAATATAGGGTTTGGGGTAGTGGAACCTTTGAGACTCAGTCAATGGCAGTAGGCTCCTTGGGTTCTATCCCCTTTTGGAACCCCCCGAGGTCACTGTCTTTCCTAAGGAGCCGGTGGCGCTGGGCCAGCCCCACACCCTCATCTGCCATGTTGATAAGTTCTTCCTGCCAGCACTGAACATCACGTGGCTGCGCAATGGAGTCAGTCATTGAGGGTATTGCAGAGACCATCTTCCTGCCTAGCAAGAAGCTCAGTTTCCACAGGTTCCACTACCCGATCCTCCTTCCCACGGTCGAGGACACCTGTGACCTCCAGGGGGAGCACTGGCACCTGCACCAGCCTCTCCTCAGGCACTGGGGTATGGGGTGCCCTCCCTCTGCCATCACGGCATTAGCACCACCTTTATTTCCTGGACCCATCACCCCTCAGCACCTGCTTTCCTCAATCCCATGTTTTATGGTCACTTTATCCAAATTTCACCATCTCATGGTTTCAAATACCCAACACCTCCCACACCCAAGGCCAGCCTCTGCTCTCTGTACCTTATTACTCTGTCTTCCCTTAGAAGACAGGTAACTAATCCGGGAACTAATCCAGATGCCTGAGACCATGGAGATGCTGGTCTGTGCCCTCGGCCTGCTGATGGGCCTGGCGGGGATCCTCAATGGCACCATCGTCTCAAAGACCAAGCGATCTGACAGCATCCCTGGGTCCAGGGGCTCCTGTGAGTCATCCTAGAGGTGCATTAGGGACACAGTGGAATAGACGAGATAAAAAGTTAGGGCTGAAGAATGGGAAAGAGAAACACTTCACCAGGGGCTCTTTGAGCACTGATGTTTTAGTGCCATTGGGCTGGATGAAAACACTAACAAATGTAATGAGAAATGACATTCGTTGAGTTGCTTACTGTGTTCCAGGCACTATTGTAAGTGCTTCTCATGTGTTCACTTATTTACACGTGGAGGTTGGTTCTTATTTATTTCATGTTATAGAGGGGGAATCAGACACAGGGGGAGGTGAAGGCCACACAACTTCAAAGTGCAAAGCTTGGTTTTAAACCCAGGCTTCGGGCCAGCAGTGGCTCAGTCTTGTCCAGTATTAGATTATTTCATCTGCACCCACAATCTGTCTTCCTCCATTTTACACAGCCTTAATTTTCTTCTGCCTGCAGAGGGATGTTCAGAACTTCCAATGCCACGTTAAACATTTCCAGCAACGAAGGACATCCTATCTTTTGCACAATCTCACAGGGAATCCACCTCATTTCTTTGAAATATATAAGCTATAGACTTTTGGTTCACTATCTTTAACACGTCATGAAATTGATTAAATTCTGTCTATGTCTTGAGCTGAATTCAGTTTAAATTAATATGAATTTTGTGGAGTCCACTAATGTGTTAACCACATTATATATTTTCTGACACTGAAGAATCATTGCATTCCTAGAATAAATCTAAATTGGTCAAAACTGATTGTTTTTATAATGTACTGTTAGATTCAGTGACTGGCTCTGGAAATATGAATGAACCAACCTCATAAAATGATCTCAAAAATGCTGTTCCATTTTGTTTTCTAGAATCACACATGTAAGAGGCATAATCTGCTCCTGGAAATGTAGGAGGACGCCCCTAACGGCAATATGATCAGGACAGGGCCTTTTGGAAGGCAATTCTTTGCTTCCCATGACAGTTTCTTTGATATTCTCTACTCTATTTTAGTTTTCTATTTCTTCCTGTCGTTTTGACCTTTATATCTTTCTAGAAATGTATCCATTTTATCTACATTTTCAAATTTATACGTATAGAGTTGGTTGTAAGATTTCGCATTTTAAAATGTGTGTACAAATAGTCATTTCCCCTTTTCATTCTGAATCTCCTATATTTTCCTTAGGAGTCTTGCCAGAGGTTTCATTAAGTTTTCATTGCCTCAAAATTTGATTTTGTTTGTCTTCCCTTTTTTTATATTTCATTGAATTCAGCTTTTGTCCTTATTGTTTACGTGTATTTTCTTTTTGCTGTTTTTCTACTTTTCCATCCTCTTAATTCACATAATTATCTCGTTTGTTTTCAGTCATTTCGCTCTAACAAAATTGTTTAACAAATAGTCTGACATTCTATGCAGCATTTTGAATGAACTTATTTCATCTTTCTATAAAGACTAAACATCTATTATGTTTTCAGTTATTTCCTCTCCCTCCACTATTTCCCTGACTTTCTAGATGTCTAATTATCAAGATGTCAGATGTCTGTTTCTATCCTTCATTTCTCTTCACTTTTCCTTTACATTTTCTATGGTTTGCTCCATCATATTTTCCTTGGGGCAGTTTCTCAGCCTGACTTTTTGCTTATTAATTACACTTCAGTTGCAAAAGTCCTATTTATTATCTCATTTATTATGTTTCTTATTCCAATCTTTATCAAAACTCAGTATTTGTGCTTGATTTGTTGGCTTCTTGCTTTTGCTTCAAATTTCCAAATTCTCCTTTACTTCTCTATTTAAGCCCTTTTATTGTGAGCTAGGGGACATTTGGAAGAAACACACAAACCAATAGAACGTACGTTGAATGATTATCACCACAAGCACTCATGTAACTAGCACCTGGGTGAAGAAATAGACTGTTGCCAGTATCCCTGTGCCTCTCCTTAGGCCAGGAGGTAGTTTGTAAACTTTTCAGGAGCCAAAGACTACTGATATCCATAATGCTTAGCATTGCTCCTGGTACACAGTAGGTCTTCCATAAATATCTCTTGTAGAAGTATTTTATTATTTATTTAATAGGTACTTCTTAAATATTTTCCACTTTCAAGGATTCCCTATTTCCACTTTCAAGGATTCCCACTCATTTGAAGTTAGTTGCAGCCATGTGATTTACATTGGAAAATGAGATGCGAGAAGTGTGTTCTTTCTAGGAGGGATCATTAAGAGCCAGTGAATGATTTCTTAGGTTCCCTTCATTCTTCTGGGGAGGTTCTGGGAGCAGAGGTGCAGGAGAAAGCCTGTCAGTCTGGCTTCCTGAGTAAGATGATGAGCAGAGCTTCCCGGACAACTTACTTTGGACGTGTAGCATGAGCCAAACCTGGATATCTGGGTATTTGTTACTTTAGCACAGCTGATCCTATTCTTACTGTGTAAAAGGAGTTGAAGGGAAGGTGCTCAATGAGACTTCAAAGAACCTGAGGGACAGGAGAACTAGAAGGATGTTTCATCCCATAAGCCAAGTGCACAGGACTTTCAGGGACAGTTTACAATGTGATGTGCTCAAAAGGCGTCAACTGTGATAAGTGTTCACTGACCTGGTAGCAAGTGGTTATTAGAATCCCTTTAAAGAGCATCTTCACAGCCCATGTCCAACTCCCACCTCCTTCCACTTTCACCATCCCCTGGCTCAGCCTCACTGCTACTTGACAAATGGGCACAAAGGGAGGATGAAATGACTTCTCCTTAGGGTCCCCCTTGATCACCATCTGGGGGTGCATCATCTGTTGGGTGGACCACCTTCTCCTTAGGGGACTGTGAGGGGTAGAAAATGAAGGGACCAGGTGGAAAGGGGTGGGGGATACAACACTCAGCTGGGAGTAAGTCCACGGGGTGTGTTCTACTGCATTCCATCTTTCTGAGTCAGAGGCTGACACAGGGGAGTCACCAGCTTCATCTCTCCTTTAAAGCTCCAGTTCCAGCTTTCCTTTGAATCTCTGCTCTTCAGCCCCCGTGACTGATGTACCTCAAGACTCCTCTACCTCTTGGCTGCCTTTGATCCTGCTGCACATAGCACTCAGCAAAGGGCCTGACTCTTAGAAAACACTATAAATATTGAAAATTTGAAGTCTAGTGACAAGGTGGTCCCCAGTTTGGATGGTCTCTCAGCTCTTGTCTCCTCTGGGACCTCTCTCTGCACTGTATTCTTCCTTAGAAATCCCAGAGTTTCATAAACATCTGCATATGTCACAGTGAGACATGTCTGATGCCTTCTTTCTGTGACTGCAGGGCCTTTCCTTATCTCCTTATACCGTCAGTTCCCTAAGAGCACATATCCTGTTCCTGCAATGTGGGTGCAGATCCCTCAGTTTCTGATCCTGCCAGGTGTTAGTCCAGAGATTGTTCACTCCACTCTGGGTACTCCCTAACCTGTAACGTGGGTATAGGTGACAAGCATGGAACAGAATGACTCTGATGGGATATGGTTTGCAATGTTGACTGCTCCGTGGCTCTGAGGGTAAGATTTATGTGCTCTGGGTCTGAGGATTTCATAGTCATCTCAGTTTGAAGACTTTCTGCAATTCTCATGACCTCCTTCCATCGTTGAATCCCTGGATTAAAATCATATTAATTTTCCACTGCAAAGGTTTCTCACAAGTTTCTTGTGAAGCCGAAGTGAAAATAAGACAGATAAAGGGTCCTCATTTATTTACTATATACTGGCCTCATTACCCCATTATGTGACAGCTGAAATTACTACACAGAAACAAGTCAGTAGCATTTTCCTTTATAGTTTTTGAGGAAACGAGGCTGAGCAGGGATAAGGATGTTTTAAAAAGATAAAATGATTGTGTCCTATTCCCTAGGTTAAGAGGATTATGAGACATAATTTGTTATCCTTATGGGTGGCTTCTCTTGCCTGACTCCCTCACTTAGTCCATCCTCTCTGTAGACTCCAGCTATATTTACTTATATCTGTGCCAGTAAAGCCCAGTCTGTACCTTCAGTCCCACCTCTCTTGGAATTGGAGGCAGCTGGTCCCCAGGTGGTGGATATTATTTGCAAGGGGAGGTGGGCAAGAGGAGCACAGTAGTTTTTGGGAACTGACCAGGGACAGGCGCCCAGGGACATACAAGGCCCAGAAGATGCTTGTAAGAGGCCAGGGAGACTGAAGGCATCAACTGGATGTATCAGAGAGCTGCTGTGCACTGCTTATGTGTATCAGGAGTGAAGAATCCATCCTCTACACAAAAAAGAAAGTTTACAACAAACATGTCCTCTACCTTGACTGAAAGGTGTCAATATGAGACGCAAAACACATAACAATGTTGGATTGTTAAAAAAAAAAAAAAAAAAA